CCACGCAGAAGCATTGCTTGGTAAAACCGTACATGCCACTGTAATTGTAGGAGGCGGAATTATATGAAAGGTGGGGTTGTGGGCCTCACATCCTCACCAAACCCCGCATGATTGGGGGAATCCCCGGGCACATCACCCCCTGGCCAGCCAATCGGCTGGCTCTGGGGGCATGGCCTGCCCTATTTAATGCGGTTGCAGCCGGGGATCTCCCTCTTTTCCCGCCTACCAGCTGTTCCTGTTTCCCACCCTCCCGCCTTTTAAGGTTTTCGTTCCTTGACCTTGCTATGGACCTAGGTTGGTCGCCATTGAGGGGTCTGGTAGGAATTTTTCCACTTGGCAAATTGGCACCAGCCACTTGGTTTTCACCTACCTCATAGCAAATCGTCACAACTTTCTTGGTATTGGCGGTTAGGCATTGGTATTGGTGTTGTTTTGTAGATGGAAGAGGGGAGGAAGCACCATCACCTGCCCCGCATATTGAAGGGTAGTCTGATAAAGGATTCCGGGGGGCATGGCCCTGTCTGAAACCTATGGAGGTGAGGGCCTAAGGCACGCCCCCGAGCAGTGACCCCGGGGGAGTTCCTAATGGATGTGCATCAGCAGGACTCCCCCTACTGGTGGTTAACCCTTCCCGGACTTCAAGCAGACGGGCTGAAGCCGGATATAATAGGTTAGGACCAATGCCTAAGCCAATACCACTCATCACCTGTAACCAGTAAAGTTGTGGCCTTATTTAGCCCATTAACCTTAATAATTGTGTTATGTGTCTTTATTTCCACTGGGTGGGGGGACTCGCCACGCAACGTGAGGAACACACGTACCAATAGTGGTAGCCAACTAAGTTTTACTTAGAGTGGATGCACTGAAATTCATTGACCTAACTTAGTCATGTTCTTTAATTTCAATGGGTGTACTCTGAATAAAACTTAGCTGAACACAAAAACATAGGAAATATACATGTAGTGTTGGAAGGGACCCCAAGGTTTACCTAGTCCAACCTCCTGCAATATTCTGAAACAATCTGGAAGGATTATTCCTGCACTGCAGGGGATTGGACTAGATGACCTTTGGAATCCCTTCCCGCTCTACAACTATAGGATTTCTCACCCCCGGAAACAAAGGGCTTTTGTTGTAGACAGCCCCACAAACCCACAAGGAACATTTCCCTTTGCTGCATATTCATGTTGGCTTTCTGAAATATTATCTGCAACTACAAGTTACTAAAAGCTATAAAATTGCCTGCTTTCAACTATTAAGGTGGTAATGACTCCGTGAAGTTCATTGATTTCAATGGGTCTCCTCTATGACCTAGTTGGATCCAACTTCAAATATTCAAATTTCCCATGCTTCAGAGCAGAAACGTAATTCAATGGTTGTTGTTTTTTCCTCAGCAATGACAGATATCAGTTCCCTATGAGGTCTCATATGGTTTGATAATTCGTTCTACGACTAACAATTGTTCAAGGACACTATTCCATGCAAGCCCAGAGCACTTGATCTAGCATTTGCAGTAGAATTTTTTTAAAAAATAACCACATACAGAAACATAGCTAGTCTCCTCAACGAAGGATGTTAAGATTTTAAAGGAGCACAGGGGACAAAGCCAAGGGGGGTGTTTGCTCTCACCTAAACCCTCCCAATGCACATAGAGGCTAGCTGTCAGAAGAGGATCAACTCACTGCACCATCCCAAGCCAGGCAAAATAAGAGGATGTCCCTTCTGCATTCACTAGTGTGAAGAGACCTGTATGTTTTCCCCATGGGGCCAGTAACAGCATTAGATGTGGAATTGTGAATGGGGGGAAGAGTTTATGTTGCACCCTCTAGCACCACATCCCTGACCTGGTTTGGCAGGCCCTTAAAGCTAATGATGATGATGATGTAGGAGATCCAGTCATGAATCATTTCATGTGAACCACCTTTATTTATTTATTTATTTATTTATTTATTTATTTATTTGCTAAGTAACGAACACTGCATAAAAATGAACACAAATGAAAGAAAAAAACAGAACAAAGAGGTACAAGTCATTGCTTATAGGTTCGCACAGCGAAGTACATCAAGGATCTTAAGTTCTGTATTCGTCTTTGCTTTTCTTCTCCCATCCTAGGTTTGCCCAGCGGTTAATGTCCGTAGTGCCCAGATAAGCAGTTAATTTTAAGGACTGGTGACCAATGCTATCAATCATTTAATCTCTCTACCATAGTTAAAAAACCAAGATTTTAGAAAGGTGTTTATAGACCCTTTTCCATGTGAGTAGGTTATAGTGTCATGCCATACACAAGGTAAAAGTCTAAATTACCCACACCCTTGACTAAGCAAATCTTGTGTGTCAGTTTTTCAGCAATGGGTCTTTGCCATTCCTCCTCACCACTATGAGCTGAATAAAGAGCATGAAATCCACCCTCAACTCCGAGTATATTTCAGCCTCCCTTCACGGGAATGCTTAAACCACTCATACACTGTTTTTTGAGTTACAGCTTTGTTAAGTTGTGGGCGAACATAGCAGACGACACAGCGATTCTTCAAACAGCTCTTCTTTATTCAGATGTCAGAACAGAACTGAGCTGAGGGGCTCAGTCAGCCTGCTTATATAGAGCTCCAGAACAATGTAACTGTTGCCATTTTCTAAAACTATCCAATCACTGAACGTCACTTTTCGATCCTTCATTTGCATACAAACTATCCAATCACTGAACGTCACTTTTCGATCCTTCATTTGCATAACTATCTACAGTATCCCCCTGCTGGCCCAGGGTGAGAACTTCAGTACATAACAAGCTTCATCTCCGCACACAATTGTGAGCATTTTGTGGGTTTCCGATGCCAATTGTATGTTTAAATATTTCTCACTGTTCCATTTCTGTGACCATTCACCGAACTTTCTGGTCACACCTTGTGGGTGACTGGCAGAAGGCTTCTTCCTGAAATTGTCATTTTCTATGTACAGGAATATTTTTCTCATGGAGGAGCATTCCACCACAGAAGCCCCTGCCTATAGTCTGAAGTGTCTGTCCCCAGAGACCTAAATTTATCACCTCATTGAAATCTAAGTCTATGCTGGGCTCATGTTGTTTTGCCATCCCTTTCCCTGAGTACCATAACTGCCTTCATTCTGGCAGGGGACAGGGGGTGGACAGTAAGGGGTGGTATTCAGGTCTACAGGCATCCAGGAAACCACTTTGCTTTCCATGTCATTGCCAATTAACTAGTCAAGTTAAGCAAGAGGGTTTTTTAAATGTTTACTCTGGCCAGATGTGAACATGCATTGCATTTGTGCCAAGGCCTATTTCTCCCAAGCAAATGAGACATATTTTATGGAAGTCCAGCACATTTTGCATTCCCCCTGCCCGCCCCCCAGCTCACCTCGGCATGTAGCCAGGGCAAATCAGGCCTATGTTAGATCTGGGAGAGAATTTTCTTGTGGACCTGTCAGCTAATTCATATATACTATATAGTTTTTGGCTTACGTCCCTTGTTAAAAATATTTCAAGAATTTCTGGATCAGGTTAAGCTGAACTTCAGTGTTTGTTTTCATTTCGTATTATTTCCAATGTTGCTAAAGGTCACCAGCTTAATTTCATAACAACCCAAAATCAAAGTGAATGGAAATGTTTGAAGACTCCATGCACAGTTGGGAGTCAGAAGAGCAGACGTTACAGAAACATACATTTTCAGATGGTACATTTTGGTCATCCGAGTCTCAAAAGCCATTGTTTTGCCATGGAGTGGGCCATCACTTTTCCCTTCACAGCCCTGACATCTTCCAGTTGATCACAGTACAAGCAAAGCTGTGTGTCCCTTGCAGGAGGGTTGAAGAAGAAATTCAGTTTGGAATGCATATTAACGGCGAAATTTGCATTTCCTGAAACAACATACAAACTAAAACAGCTATCCTTCAAAATTCACTGACCTCTGAATTTTGCAGTGTGATTTTCTGACCAAAGAGACCTATACAAAAAGATGTATGTTTTAAAAAGACTGTTAAAAATGCATACATTAATGAGTGTTCTTGTGCATGAATCCTGCCTGTGGGTTTTCCCACAGACAATCTGGCTGACCCCTGTGAGAACAGGACACTTGGCTAGATGAGCCATTGGTCTGTTCTGCAAGGTAGTTGGAGAAGCCGCTGCTCTCTGCCTTGCTTGCCCTACATTTCCAGGCTTTGCTGCCATCATTTACAATCCTGCACCCTTGGAGCCCTTTCAAAAAGGTTAAAATCCTACAGCTTAGCCATTTGAAACAGGGAGCGCAAGACAGATAGTAACTAACAGTGCTGTTGCAACCATGTCAACACAGAAGTAAGTTCTACTGAACTCAGTGGGGCTTGCTCTCAGGTAATACATGTGCTTGCTTTTCCCCCTCTGCCCTCCCAGCCTTTTTCCGTTTTGTGCCATGGCTGTTAAATTGCAATTCTCCTATTACTGATCTGGGAGAATATTAAAAATGTCTTATTTCATTTATCAATTCTTTATTTATTTAATCAATGGAGCTGGTTGCTGGGATTCTGATTTGCATCAGCTGCTTGTACCTACTTCCCCATTACTTTTCTCATTTTCTTATATTCATTACTTATTGTGCTAAAGAGCACACATCTGTTCTCTTGTCTTGCAGAAATCAAGAAAGTGTGCATGCAGGCTTCTTTCCAATCCCTTGGTATCCAATTAAATCACTTTAAACCCATTATGCTACCAGCATGCATATGCGAGCAATTATGTCGTCTCTAACTGGCTTCCTACGGACCAGTCTGGGCCACACTCAGAAGCCTACCTCACTTCATGCCATCCCCTGCAGCCTGCTACTCAGAGTCCAGTGACTCAAGTGGGGCCTTCAAAGGAGTACCAAGACAGCCCAACAGTCCTTTAGCTAAGGCAAGCCCAGTCACATTTCCTCCACTTACATCATCAGAAGTAGGATGGCCCAAAAAGAAAATATGCATCACCCAAATAGAGGACAAAAGAAGGAATGGATTTCCATAAGTTTATTCTTCTTACATATAGAGGCAAATTTAGAAACTGTAATTTAAATAGAATAACATAGTGAGGAAGATTGTGACCAGTTGACCTGTGTGTCTGCTCAGTCTGCTGCTCAAGTGCTAATTGTTGGTTGGCAGCTTCCAGGCTCAACCACTGCTATGTCCTAAGATGGCAATATTGATGCTCTTAGCGTTTGAATGTCATCGCTGGAAAGCTGTAAGGTAATCTTTCACATTAGACAGCATTAATCCCAGGAGAAGCAATGTCCCAGTTATATTAGGGTGGCAATTTGGGAACTAGCCGCTTGGGATTATCACCGCTAGTGTCGCCACAGACTTCCAAGGGGATCATGTTGTGTATTAGATACAAGTCCAAATGCTCAACCAGAACGTCATTCCACATTCAGGTTAAGAAAACTTGTAGCAGTGCAGTGGTAGGGAAGCTCAGGCCCATGGGCCAAATTCAGCTCCCTCTGAGCCTTTTTATCCAGCCCTCAGGACTCTCCCCAGGCCTGGGGTGGGAAGCTTGTGTCCTGTGGCCAAATGCAGCACCCCTAGTCTATCGGGCCTTTGGGATGCTCCCCTGGCCCTCCTCCACTCCAGACCTCCCTCTTCTCAGCCCTGCTCTATGCCTTTTTGTGTTTTGCATGGCCAAAATGTGTCCTCGAACTATTATCATGCCTCCTGCCTCGATGGAGGAGAGAGAGATGTGTGTGCAAAAGAGAGTGAATTTTGCATGACTGGAATGCAGCCTGTTGTAGAAAGGTAAGAGTCTTATTCATTGACCCACACAGGGGAAGACTAGAGTAATCTTTTATAATATGGCACCCTGTGAGAGGCCAGAATTTGGTGCCCCCAAATGGATCTTCTTAGTTATTTTCTCAATTCTGTGCCCGCTCGGCTTGGCACCGTGTGTAGGGGAACCACCTTAAATCTGGTGCTGCCCCACACATTTTTACCTCTGCCCACCACTGGAATGCAACCCCCAAAAGGTTCCCTGTGAAGGAATGCAGTCATTCAGCTGAAAAAGGCTCCCCACTCCTACCATCAAAAGCAGACCCGTTTGTTCACTTCTTTCAGTGGCAATTTCAGCCACAATTTCCATAAACTAGAATGCCCACTGCCTTGTTCTGTGCTACCAAGTGCTTCAGAAACATTATCTTGTTGCACAAAATAAAAGTAGGTATGTTGGCTCAAAATACACACTGTGTGCAAGCTTTTGAGTCCCCCAGAACTCTTTATCAGGCTAGATGGGGGAGGAAAGAAGTTGACTGATGTCGAAGTCATGCCACCGTAATTCTGGTCTGTTGCAATCCTTACAACAACCTTAGCTCCATACTGAAGTGGTGGGAAAGCAAGGGAGGACTGAGTTTGAGACAGAGCCGCTTACTCAAGGCAGAGTTCATGGCAAAGGTGAGATTTGCCCCAGGGAATCCTGAGCCACAGAGACCCCATTGGAGTACTGAGCACACACCACAGAAAATTCACAAAAGTGTGATCGCTTTATTTAAATAAAAATTAGTGTTTGTCAGAAAGGAACAGTTAAACTTAAATATGTAAGACAAATATATACAGCTTGGTATCAAAGTATATACACAATTGTCTTTTGAAGCAAAGAGAGAGTGACAAGTAGATTTGTACGGAAATCAAAGAAATGAGGACAAAGCAATGGAAAAACATGACAACTCGAAAGTCGGAGTTGGAAAGTTTCAGGATTCAAGTGATTCCAGGCAACATGCCAGAAGTAATTTGGCTCCTTTGAAAACTTAAAACAGTCCCTCTTGGAATAAAGCAACCCAGAATTCATGCTTGCGGGTTGATCGGCCGAGTCAATGAAATATTCCCATTGCCTTTAATGAGATCTGCAGCCACTTGTCAATGAGCAACAAAGTCTCTGCACAAACAAAAGTATCCCCAGTGACATCAGAAAGAGGAGGTGAAGGTCCCATTTAGTCTGTCCCCACTCATACAGAACTTGGAACTGAGACTTTCAGATGGGAGTGGGAAATGAGAGCTCTTTGCCTCATTTGTGCCTGTCCCCTTTTCATGCTCTGTTTTCCCACACCGTGTCCCATGGCAATGAATATGTTCTGGAGCTATTTAACTCAGAAAACTCAGAGAGGCATTTTGGCAGCATTTCTGTTCTCATACTTATGAGACCAATCTGAGGTTACTGTCCATTGCAATGCACGATGGAAGCAAAACCCCTCTGCCCCAGTGCTATTAAACCCTCTATGAAAATTGTGCAGAGGTTTAACTGGCAAGTTTCAAGCGTTTGTAATATGAACATACAGTGTGGTTCAGTTCTTCAGAGACACCAGTGCCAAACTATGGTTAAAAAGCTTACCTATGGCTTAGCATGATATTTGAACTGACAAACTATGGTTTGCAGACAGCCAGCAAATGAGAATCAGGAATTAAGTTTGAAGGGCATTTGCAAACCAAAGGTTGGATCCAGGCTAAGCTAGTAACGCTTTGTTCCCATTAGAATCAGTGGGACAATTTTATCATTACTAACTTAACTCCCACTGATTTCAAGCATGACTAACTTAGTCTGAATCCAGCCCAGTGTTTTGTGATAATGGTGCTACAGTGTGAAATCTAAATTGCCAGTTACAGGCCATGTTCCGTATCTTGCATCATTGGAACAAGCGTGTTGTACAGATGGAAAACAAAAGCAGGCAAGCAGATTTGAACCATGATTTGCCCCCATCTGCTATGAAACTTGAAGTATGATTTGGGCTCTAATTCATGCTTTTCATATGATAGCTGAATGGAGCCATTGGGGTAAACATTCTTACAGCAAATCAGGACATAGAAATGCATGCATCATGATGCAGACCTAGCCTGATCTATGTCTGCTTTTGTAGAATTTCACCATAGTGCCCACTCCGTTTCATTGTGTTGCCCCACCCCTACCCCTCTAAATGCTACTAAAATGAAAAGAGTTTAGTATCCCCATGGATTGAGATCATGGTCTGCTGGTATGAATGGATGTAGCTTCATTTCTTTCACAGGCACTCTGAAAGAAATATTTGCTCAGATATGCTCGCACATGGACCTACTTCTTCTGACACAGCTGCACATATTTGAGAGTCAAGAATGAATTAAACTGTGCTTAGTCATTGGCTGAAGCAAAGCTCTTTGTTTGGTATTGCATTATCCCTGCCCTTGGTGACCAGATTTTCTATAGAAACTCTTTCTTTTAGACTTGCTTATGGGGGTGAAACACTCATAAGACCAGATCCATGAGGCTGGCAGCTCATTCATGAAACATCCCTGATGTTTCTCAGCTACTTCCCAGATATTTGCAGCATTCTAAAGCAAACCGAGAGGCTACGCAAACACATTTGCCAGGAGAGAAATATCCCTCCTTGTCCTTAATAACAAAACTATTCTCCTATGCACAACAAATGCCTACCCAGTTGTTTTTCTGCTTCCTGCCTTTCCTCCCTGCTTCCAGGCACCCCTTCTATCATTGGTGCTCGACAAATTGAGAAAGGAGGCAAAATGGGAAATGGTTTTCCTTCAGTTCTACTCATTCAAAAGATGCTGCATCTCCAGGTCCTGCAAGCGCTAGGAATTTTGGTGGATGCTTTCCGAAGAACCTTCACTGCTGTCATCGAGGAGAGCCACTTCGCCTGTTTCTCCCAGCTCGGCATCAGCCACTTCCTCTTGAATAGTGAGGTGAACGTCTGTCAAGGAAGACTCGCTCACGCTGCTGCCTTCCATGGAGCAGAGGGTGCAGGAGAGAGCCGGTGCCATGCTCTCTTGCAGCATGCTGAACATCATGGGGATCTGGACAGACCTCAGTCCCGAGATGGTGGGCAGAGGCTTGACAGCCTGTCCCCATGCCCTCTCCTCATCCTTGTAGAGCAGCAGCAAGTTGGATTTCTTCTCCTTCCTCTTGGACTTCATGTAGCCCAGCATGATGCCCATCAGGAAGATGCCGTAGAAGGACATCACGATCAGGACATAGAAGTATTCGTTTCCGTTCCCTCCGCCTTTCTCAAGAGTGGACGCAGCAGGTCCTGTGCTTTCAGCAGCAAGCATGGGCTGGGTCATGTTCAAATGATCCATCGTGAACATCAAAGCACTGTGGGGGAACCAGGAACCTGCAAGAGGAAATAGGTCGGGACATCAAACCCAGAAATCAAAACCCAGAAAACAAAATAAATACAAACATTTTTAGAAAGCTAAATAGCTGCAAATGGGAAATCCTTGGTCTATCTATTTTCAAAAGAAAAGGAACAATGCCAAATGACCACCATCATCATAATCAGTATTTTATATACTTTGCAGCTGCCCAGGAAAGATGCCAAGCATTCTTATTCCTTTATTACAGATGTGGGAGCTATTATTCAGGACCAGGGATGGAGACAGGGTGGCCCTCCAAATATTGCTGGATTACAATTCCCATCATACCGGCCTTTGTCTATAGTGGTTGGGGCTGGGAGGAGTTGCAATTCAACAATATCTAGAGGACCATCATATTATTACGCTGGAAATAATACAGTAGAACAGTTTTATCAGTTAGGAATATTTTAAGGAAGGTTAGAGGAGGGCCATCTCAATGACTTTACACCAGGTTTCCATCTAGCTCCATGACATCCACCCTGTCCGACAGCAGCTTTCTGGCATCTCACAGTGCCTGCTGCCTGCTCCTTTATAATTCGAGATCCCAGGGATTGAACCTGGATCTTCTGCATGAATAGCATGGTGCTGTGCCCCTGAGGTGTAGTCTATCCTTTATGCAGTGTGCATCGCTTGCCGTCCCCTAATTCTATGAGAGCTGGTGTCATGTTTTGTGGCTGAGGCTGCATACACATAGTACCTTTAAAGCACATTTCTCCCCTCAAAGAATTCTGGCCACTGCAGTTGATTGAAGGTTGTTAGGAATGGGAACTCTGTGAGAGGTGAACTACAATGCCCAGAACACTCTGAGGGAAACATGTGTTTCGAATGTGTTCTAAAGGTATAGTGTTTACGCAGCCTGGGAGTGTGAGCTGAGAAGATTCTGGTTCAAATGTCACCATAGCCATTGAGTTTCCTCAGCATCAGTCACCCACTCTCAGTTCTGCAAGATGAGGATGATACTTCCCCTAGGCTGTTGCATGACTTACTAAGAAAAAGTATACAAAATGCTATTTCTTGTAATAATAATAATAATAATCATATGGCAGTTTTCCTTTCCTTTTGAAAAAAATATACAGAGCTTCACAGACTTGGGCTTCTATCAGAGAAATACTTTGGTTTGTCTGAAGATAATCCAGCAGACAGCACCACAAAGAGAGTATGTGATCACAAATGAACCAAGGGTGAAAAAGCCATTCTAAAATACAAGAAATATATAAACGTGGGAGGCAAAAAAAGTTTTGGGGGAAGGCTTACTATCAAGACAAGCTTAATGCATCAAAGCTCTGAGAATCTGAATACATAGCTTATCAGTGTTGTGTAGCCAGTGTGGTGTAGTGGTTAAGAGCGGTAGTCTCATAATCTGGGGAACCGGGTTCGCGTCTCCGCTCCTCCACATGCACCTGCTGGGTGACCTTGGGCTAGTCACACTTCTCTGAAGTCTCTCAGCCCCACTCACCTCACAGAGTGTTTGTTGTGGGGAAGGAAGGGAAAGGAGATTGTTAGCCGCTTTGAGACTCCTTAAAGGGAGTGAAAGGCGGGATATCAAATCCAAACTCTTCTTCTTCTTCTAGACAAGGTAATAATAAGAAAACACTATTGTATCTAGCGCAGTGAAACAAAGAAAAAGAGACTTGAACAACTTACCTGAGTCTGCAAATAATTTTGTGCTTCCCAAAGCTCCCAAGAAGACTGTTCACGAAGCAGTTTCCTGAGTTCTGGAAACTTTCTCCGTCCGCTGCCAGAATTAATAGCCTCTGAAGAGAAGTTTCATCACGTGATTCCCAAGAGTTTACAATAGCTGCATGCTGGAGTCAGTGCATGAACTCAAAGGCTTGCGGTTTAACTGGTTGGATTCCTGACACCTCTGTGAAAATGAAAAAGGCTGAGGATGCTGAGTAACTTTTCCTAAACAAAGCTCAGTGCCAGAGTGTGTGGACACAAACACAACTCAGGCACTCACACTCCAGTGGTGGAAACTGTGATTTGTACTGACGGTCGCTTTGTGCCAATGAAGAAAGAAGCTTTACAGGGCAATACAGTTAAGAGAAAGAGCAATCAGCAGAAAATCCCTTTCATGGCCATCTGCAAGTTGGGATGGAGGAATATGTCAAATATAGGGATGTATATGTAAGAAGACTATGCAGAAAGGCTGCCATGCAACAGGCTAGCAAACATGTCAGGATTCTCTGTAAGAAGTGACTGAACAAAATATGACAATTCCAGACCACACAGCTAGTGTGAAAGCAGCTGCAAAGTCCACCCAGATAGTTGCAAATGAAAACATTTCTTTCTTTCTTTAATGTAAGTATTTGGGTTATGGCATACTTTTCTGTCCTACTTTTCACTTGGCTTGTTTTAGGTGTTGTATCATTTTTATTGTCAGTTGCTGTGGAAGAATTAGTTATTTAGAAAGGCAGCTATTAAAGATTTAAGTAAGTGAAATCTGGATGGCAATTTGGCAGCTGTTTGTGTTCCATTATGTTTTCACCAAGCAAGTGCAACCACCCTTCTCTGCCATCCTGCTATCTTCCTTTTTATTTACTGAAATTACACATCACGTAATCTATCCCAGAAGCAAATAGAGTGATCTAGGGCCAAGATGAGAAAATAGTCCTGAATCAACCATGCTCTCTGTGTATAACATAAATGTCATCCCCACTGCGTAACTTTCAGGGATGTGTATGTGAAAGGGCATTTCAATTTCTCACTGGATTTTGAAGACTTCTTGATGATAGAGCCTGGATATTTCCCAGTTGAGTCTTGGCTCTTTAAAGGTTAAACAAGCATGTAATTATAGAATCAAAAACTTTCAATCTTCAAATTTATTTATTTTTTAATACAGAGACATAAAGACTAGTATAATGGGCTTCCCATCATTTGAAATCAACATGGCTTTGTTGTCTAAGATGACAATCTTTCCCCCTCATCACACGTTCCCATACAATGGCCCAGGAGTTGTTGATGTTGGATTAACATCCATGGGGATTTGATACAACATCATCTGTCTGCAGCATTGCTTTGCCAAGTCTGTATGTGTGTGTGTCACCCACCCGTCCCTTATCTCGTAATATTATTTCTAATGTTGACCTAAGTATATCATATCTGGCATTTCACATCCCCCACAGACTTGCATAATCATCTGTAAACTAAGTATGAGTACCCAAAGTTTGCTTTTTCCAACTTTGTGGAGATTGTTGGGTCCAAATTCAGTCCCACTCCCCTGCTAATCTCTGAATAAATAGCAATTGGAACGCAGCTAAAAACACAGAAGCCTTTCTCCCTGGTGGCAAAGGAATTGCTACAATAGCTTTTCTAGACACCCAGAAGAAAGAAAAACACATGTAATTTTCTATGCTGAGAACTCTTTGGTATTAATCCATGTGGCTATAGACCTGCTGGGAATATTTCATTTCTCCCTCCTGTCGCCTCTCCTCCAATTCATATAATTCCTGATATGATAGGGCATACAGAAAACAAAACAACAATCCTATCTGTGCTTTGTCAGTAATGTCCCATACAAAAACAAAATATTGCTCCAACTTATGGTTCAATAGGTAGCCTGCTGGGTTGGGAGGTTGAAAATTCTTGGATCCGAAACCTTTGTTCGAATCCCTGCTCAGTCAAGAACATGACTGAGTGGCTTCAGACAATTCATTACCACTCACACATAATAAAATGCATCTCCTGGGTGGGGGATGCAGTTTTGCACTGAATTTGCATCTGCTGATTTGAATGGGTAGAGGCACATTTAGAAGTAATTAAGATAATTCAAATAGAAGTATAAAACTTCTCACTATGTTGGCTCGGCTTGCTGTCCAGGAGCTAACTGTGGAGGAGCAACTTCTGGGCCCCTCCCACTGCCCCTTCTTAGGGTTCATTGCCTACAAACAGGACTTGGACTAGGCAGCCCTTCAAAGAGAAGACTCCTTCAGATAGACAGCCCTTCAGAGAGAAAGCTGTCCTATGTAAAGCAAGCCCTAGTACAGTGGAAGCTCGGTAGTCAAATGTAATCTATTCCGGAAGACCGTTCGACTTCCAAAGCGTTCGACAACTGAGGTTCCACTGTACCAGCCTGCTTCACCAGTTTGCAATGAGGCTAAAACACTGCTCTGAATGCTTAGAGAAAGTACGTGATACAAATGAAATGGAGTGGAGCGGAATGGATGAAATGAAAGCATGAGAAATGATGAGCATGGCTCTTACATTTACACAACTTCCCCTCCTTCTCCTCTAAATTTGCTCCTGGGGGTTGGAGAAGATACTTAGGGAGCCTGGGGGTAGGCTCAAAAGGTGAGGAGATGCTAAATTCCATTGTGTGGCCAAAGGCCAAAGGGACCTGCTTATCTGGAAGTCTCCTCCTGAGTCTCAATTCCACCTATGCTGCATGTGTATAACAACCCAACACGTCATATGGGTGAGTCAAGAGTTCTCCATCTTTCCTCTACTATGAGAATATGAGAAATAGCAGCAACTATTCCAGAGCAACTTAGCAGCCTAGAATTATAGTGCTGGAAAGAACCGAAAGATGATCAAGACAAGGAAGGCACCTTGCCACAAGGAAGGTGCACCCGCTGAACCTTCTGCCAGCCGTCCCCTCCCCCTGCCTCATAAATCTATGCATCCCCTTCTTTCCAATGTCTGTCTAGGGCAGCGGTTCTTAACCTGCAGGTCCACAGATGTTGTTGGACTACAACTCCCATCATCCCTAGCTAGCAAGGCCAGAGCTCAGGGATGATGGGAGTTGTAGTCCAACAACATCTGGGGACCCACAGTTTGAGAACTGCTAGTCTAGGGGAACAGAAAATAGGACAGTACACATCTGCCGCTACACAACCTGTTTGAAAGCAACTATTCTCCCCAGGGAGCTGAACAGCTAAATCCTGCAGCCTTCTGTGGAAAAAAAAGTGCTGCATTAACCCTTTGGAAAAGAGCATAGTCCTTGTGCGCATCTGCCAGATTCTATCTGAGTCAGAGAGGATTAATGACATCAACCCTTTTCTTTATGCATGAGATGCTGATCCCCATTCAATTCCCACTGGTTCCACAACACTCTGCATGTAGCTGAGTGGCGTGTATACAAACCGTGACTATCCTTCCCTGAAGCAATCTGTTTATTATCAGTGTGAAAGGAAGGGCAGGAGGAGGACAAGGGAGTAGACGTTAGGATTTCCCCCACTTTCTAGCACTGGGTATTTACGGAAAGAGAGGCATGAAGATAAATATGGGAAATTATTTGGATCCTGAGATAACATAAGAAATTTCACAGGAGGAGAGCTTCCTGTTGCATCCTCCCTACTGCAGACATCTGTGTCCCCCAAAAAAGTCCCCATGGAGAATCAGGGGCATCTCTTGAATAATGTGCTTTGAGGACCCATCTATTCCAGTTGGCTTTTGGTAAAGAGGATTGTATTAAGATTGTTTGTTTTTAGAGTATTGCTTAGATTGCTGAATTTTTGCCATTTTTATGAATAATATTTTTAAATGTTGATTAACTCAAGTTACAGGGAAGCTTCTGGCTTATTGACATTTTGTGGTTTGAAAATTATGCATATTGAATCAAATTGTATTATATGAACAGTGGTGTCCGTTGCTTGTTTTTAGGCCTCCAAAAGAGGACTGTGTCCTATAAGGAGACCTCAAATGGTTTAAATAAACAAATTTAATGCGGGGTGGCAAATAAGGGGCTGCTGGGGAAAGATGAAATCACCCAAAAGTTGAGTAGACATTTGCCCAATTTGGGGTGATTTCTCCCTTTCCCAGCAGATGCCCCCATTAGGGAAACTTCAAACATTACTTTCCCCAGGTTTACACCATACACGGAGAACAGTCAATTACACTGGAGCATTGTAATGTCTGAATATTCAGACATAAATCTGGCACGAAGGGATTGAGAATTTTCCAAGTCAGAACGCTTTGGGGAATTAACTCTGGAGTAGGTGCTTATAACCCCCAGTTTTGGAAGCAAGGTTCGCAAATTAAGCACAATATTTTAATTTCATTGAACGCAATGCTACATCTCATATAGGAAGTGAATTCAGATGGTAATATTTTGGCTATGAGCATCTTCCACGTTCTCCAGTTTTGCCAGTTCTGGAAGATTCTGAAAATAATAGTTGAAAGTCTCCATTTCTAATTGTGGGGTGGGGGGAGGAATCTGAAATGAACAGAAAGTGGAAGAGGTTGGGGCTCTTTAAGAACTCAACAAGAGCATGCTAGATCAGACCAATGACCCATCTAGTGCATCTTCTCAACCAGATGCCTATGGAAAACTCACAAGCAAGTCCCAAGCACAAAGGCACTCTCCCCTCCTAGGGGGGAAAAACCTTTCTTCATGCCATGCATAATTTCAGACTTCTCTCATGCCATCTCTTACTTTTTTTGCTAAACTACAAAAGCTCTGCCATTTGGTTGCCCTTTTCTGAACTTTGTAGCATGGCTCTCATTGCTAGCAATGAAGCAAGCCGAGCGAGAGCGAGAGCTCCCATGATTTTAACATAGCGCTGATTGAAGAATGATTTGGTGGAGTTTTCTCATGACCTGACACTGTGCAAATAAAGCAAAGAAAACTATTTCTTGCTTAAATCAGGAAATTAACCAGCAGGGAAGTCAAATGCTCTGAAGTCAGGAAGTCTGCTCAGTTCTAACTAAACCCAAAAGGCTTGCATTGAACAATGAATTAAATGTGTACTACTGTCCTCCAGACTCCTTT